AGTAGAGTGGCGGGGGTGGAGGGCCCAATGTACACTCAGACAAAAATATATGCATTTTACTATAGAAAAAATAAACACATCAATGCCAAAATACAAAGCTAAAATTGTAAGCCAGACTTACTCATATTTTTCTAAACTTGAAGAGAAAAGTTGGTAAAATAAAAATTTAAAAAATTAAGAATTTTCTGAAAAAATATTACGTTTAAGAAAAGAACTCCTTTTGCAATTGCTTAAAACTTTTTCTCTTTTTTGAGTGTACGCTTTGTAATGCCGCCAAGTTGAACGTCTGCCGTCTCAGTCTTGCCACCTGCGGCAACTGCCACTTGCGACTTGCGGCTACAGTTGTTGGCCAAAATGCGCACCAGAGTTGCCAAACAAATTCTTTTGTTATTTAATTGTAACCAAATTATTTCCACACGCTTTTGCCGTTCCATTGTTCCCAGCCGTGCGCTTTTTACCATTGGTCCGTCCGTCCGCTTCTGTCCGCCGGGGGGCGCCATTTGTGCGGCGTGGGGAGCTGAGCTCAACCATTCTTCAGTTACGAGCGATCTTTATCGCTTGTTCAGTTTACAAAATTTCGCTCCTAATGAGCGATTTTAAACATTGTTATTCATGACAGCCTCAAAATGCTCAACGCTCGTCGGCTCGCTGCCTTTTCATGTGGTTGGCTGGTTGGTTGCTTGCTTCGGGTTCCATGACAACTCTGCAACTCTAACCCACAAAAAAATTAAAAGCAGAAAAAAAAAACAGAGACTTGCAACCGATGACGATGACGATGACGAACAATTTGCTGTGGGTGTGGCCCCCTTCGCAGAGGGCGTGACTTGGTTGTTAAGCGTGCAGCCTTTCAGTAATAACATTCCCCACATCAACTCTATATATAATGTTTCTTGTGCACTTCTTTCCTAATCTAATTGCAGCAGCTACTACAACAATCTATTTACATATTACACACACAAGTTGCAAGCTCACAAAAGCCTTGAGGCATAGTTTCTTTCTCGTTGCATGTCATTCAACTAAAAAACAGGCCTATTGGGTGCGATATCTTGTTGTTATTAATAAATGGCAATCCCCGAAAATAAACTATAAAGTAATTGTTAAAGTAGATGTTTGTAAAAACGTAGTAAAAAACATGTAGCTAGATATTTAGATGGATATTTAGAACCGGATTCAGTTCTAATAAGAATCATCTTAGCAATCAGGGCTTTATTTTATTTTGAACTATAGATCCTGGCATATAAATATATATCATGATTTATAAAAGAATAGGATTTAGTCCTATTTTTATCTATATGTCTTTTGATTGCAAATGTTTTCGTTCCATTTTTATTATGAAAACTCTATAAAATGCAATATAATAAAAAATATTATTTACAACATATTCTGGCATTGCTATTACAAATCTGTGGCGTGCACCATTAATGGGGCTTAGAACTTTAGAAAGGTGTTGCAAGAACAAGATGCCAGCCAGCCAGCCAGCCAGCCAGCCAGCCAGCAAGTTCAACAGCTTTCCAATTCTCAAGTATTGTGTAGACATAGGTCTGCCCCCTCTGCCCCGCCCCGCCCCCCATTGCTACTCCCTGGAAAGCCCTTGCATGACTCCAGCTACTGGTTTTCTTTCTTTCTTGTTGTTGCATCTTTTAATCTTATTCACTTGCCCAGCTGCATGAATCACTTGCAGTCGCTTTCAGGTTAATAAACTGCAGCTCACGACACAGGCCCAACTCTCTTCACTCTCCTGCCGCAGTGGGGCATGGCGAACGGGGCGTATGTGGAACATATATCGCATCCATCTAGCTGACAATTGCCGCCTGACATTTCACAGTTGCACATTTCAATTTAAACCAAATCTTAGACAACAATTGGCGACAATGCGACGCCAGTTGCCAGTCGCCAGTTGGTTCAGACATTATTCTCAATACCCTGCCCATTTCATAGTGTTTTATTGGGTTATATTCACAACTAAAGTCAGATAAATGCTATACACTCGTAAATATAGAATATATTTCTAGAAACCAAAGTCGATTTTCTATAAATGACAACAAACTGCAGTCTTAAATACTAGTTACGGGGTATATTGAGTCGGCAACTTGCTGTGCCGTTGACTCAATTGCTGAGAATGAGAATCAGAATGAGATTATCCAATTCAGTTAGTTAATGCGCGCGAATACATAGAATTATAGCATTGTATATACGCTATCTATATAGACGGACGATATGTCTGTTTATGTGCTTATGGATGAAGCGTCTTATCTTATTGCAACATCATCTGTTGTCTGTTGTAACAATTTCAATTGAGTTTGTAGCATCTGTTTTGCCTGCTACTCAATTCCATTCAAGTTGCCAATTATGCGACCATTATTCAATCAAAGTAAATTTATTTGTTTGTCTCATTTCCACGTAAACTCTGACGAACCAGGCTCCATACTCATCAACATCATCATCATTCCAGCCGAGAACATATTTCTTTCAATTTATTCGCCTTATGCGACGGATTATGTGCTGTATAAACATTTCGAGTGAATTATCCTATATATGATGTCACTTCTAGTTGCCTCAATTGCCAGTTAAGCTGAATGCGTTCACATGGATGAAGATCTGAGTGCATGATTCCGATTCGGATTGAATCGGGTTTCGGTTCGGGTCTTGGATCTGGGTTCGGCACCAACCAAGTTCAAGAAACTTTTCTTAGATTGAAACTGGCGCCAGTTTTTCTGGTTTAACTTTGTTGTGATTTATAAACTGCTGCCAGCAGTTGTAATGAAGATTCATCGCCTCAAACTGGTGTTTGGTGTGTGTGTGTGTGTGTGTGTGTGGAACTCAACTGATTAACTTGGGTTGACTTATGTGGGTTATTGAGTGTTGACAGCACTATCTCTTGCTATCTTCACAGCTTCCCATTCTTCTTTCTTCACAGCATACAGCATACTAAGGAACTATGATGTGTTGAAAGCTTAAGTAATTTGAGAGAGTTGAACTAAATAATACATTTAATGACAATGGAATAGAATAAGCATATTATAGTCAAACTGATTTCAGTTCTTTTAATAAGTAAAGTACGTTATCAATATTTATCGTTATCGTATTTAAAACTTCTTTGTTTCCAAAAATTTATTAGCCAAACTCTTCGAATAATAATAAATTTGATTTTGTACGATATTCACAAACTATTTTCAATAAACAAAATTAAGAAATTCCCACCAATAATTCGAATAATCAAAGAAAGGCACAAAGATAAAGATTTTTAGTTACGAATTCAATTACGCTCAAATCAAATATTCTAAATATTAATAAATTCACAACTAAAATTGATTTCAATATTTTTTTCATTTATTAGAAATGTTAAAGTGATCTATAAACAAATCTATCAATATATATTATCATTAAAATTATATATATTTGTCAAACATTATTTGTCTGGAAATCGTAGAAGAGCCTTTCTAATCTGGAACTATAGAAACTATTTGCAACTTGCAATTGCTTGCCAGGAGCAGCACGCAAGTAATTCCAATCACAATTCATTCCATTTGGCTGCACATCTTCACAGATCAACGCCAACGCTGCCCGTCTGTCCGTGTGTCTGTCTGTCTGCCTGTCTGTCCGTCTGTGTGTTTGTCGAGCCCGCATTTCTTCAGCCTCTCTATAGGAAATTCAATTCCCATTTCCATTCGCGACAACATATTGGAGACGTGCAACCATAACAACGGCAACAACATAATGACTAGCAAGTCAGTAAAAACAATTTGATCAACAGCAGCAGCAGCAGCAGCAGCCACCGAGTTCCGCACGCTTCAGTTGCCCCTCGCATTTGGTGTTGCTGTTGTTGTTGTTGTTTGTGGCGTGTGTGGGACATGCGCTAAAATTTTATTTGATTTGACACTTAACGGTGGCTTTTAGCGCGCAATTTTTACAGCGCTTTCGAGCGACAGATTGCCAGCGTATGTGTGTGTATGTGTGTGTCTATGTGTGTGTGTGTGTGTGCAACTTATTAAGGACTTCCTGTTGGGGAGCGTCAGCATCTTTTTGTCGCGACAACAGATTAATTGAACGCACTGCAGTTCAATTTAGCCAGTGAAAAGTCGATTTATGTTTCGCAATTTCTCTTTTATTTCAGTAGAACTTCAATTTTTATTGTGTCTGCCTTCTAAAGTACATCATAATAATAATAATAATAATAATCATACAAATAATATAAATTAAATAGTGCTTAGTTTCAATTGCCTGCTGCGCTTAAGTATCGTTATCGTTATCGTTATCGAAACACTCAGAACCATCAGTTACACAAAATACCCTTGCAAGCATCTTGGAAATATTGAAATAAATTCATTAAACAGTTCATTTAATATTCATTCCAAATTGGGGAATAATTGTTGCAAATTACACAAAAGCATTTAATCTTTTAAAGCAACAACTTTCGTTGGTGGACTTCCTTTGTGAAGATATCGCAAATTGAAATATAAAAGATGAACTTGGACCTTGAGCATGATTGCATCAAGCTGAGAGCCTTCTGAGAATTGCTGGCTTGAAGGCTGCAAGAGGAACTTAGAATACATATTTTTGGGCATCCAGCAATATTCCTTGACTTGCATACAAATTTTTCTCAATTAAGGAGACTTCAAGAAATTTATATACTTTTTTTTTAATAAGAATGTCTGCGGTTTTAGTATTCAATCTTTTATACACATAAAATAGTCTTCTAAAGTAAATCTTTTGATTTTAATTTAATGAGATCGGGGAATTTGGAAAATGCTGTATTAAAAATTGTTAAATAAATGTTAAAGCAAGAGTTTTAATGATTTGAATTATGGAATTGTGTTGAAATTCGAATTTTATTAAATTTAAAGTGCGAAATACTTGTTAGAATTTGTAATATTGAAATTGAAATATTGCCAGATGTGAATAAATATTTATAATATGCAGTGCATAATTGAACTTGTTTTCACAAATTTATATATTTTGTGCATTTGAAAATGATGAAACTGTTAATAATATTTCTCTTTATATATTGGAATCAATTATATTTTAATTTTTGACTGCTGCAAGGGTATTTAAGCATCGGCTAGCCGAAGTTACAATTAGAACTATCGCTCTCTCTTTCTCTCTATCTATCCCTCTCTCTCTCTCTCTCTCTCTCTATCTCTGTCTATTTACAAGCGTCTAGGCGCCTCAGTCGCGGCTGTTCCTATGTACAACGATATACTTATACACTAACTACACTGCATGCAGAGGAGCGATCCTTCAGCTATTGCGTGTGAGCACTGTGACGGGCGAACGCGAATTTGCCTCACTGTGCGCCTGCTGTTGCTGCTGCTGCTGCTGCTGCTCGAGCTGATGATGAAGAATGGGTGGCGATGAGGGCGGCTGTCCCAGGTGGGTCATATGTGGTTGTGGCGCCGGCGCCGTTGGCATCGCAGCCGCCGCACTCAGTTGACGCTGGTGTGCGGCTAATGCCGCCGCGGCAGCATGTTGATGCAACAGTTGCTGATACTGCAAACGCTGATAGAGCTCCTGACTGCTTGCCGGACTGACGAACGGAGGAGGCGGGGCAGCTGCTGCCGCTGCAGCCGGATGACCCACCATGGACACCGGGCTCTTTGGCGCAAAGGGATTGTAGCGCTGATACATGCTGGCCAGCAAACTGGGCGCCGCCTGTGGATAGGCAAGGAACTGTCCGAATTGTGGATAAGCTGCCAGGCCGGGAAACATCGGTCCGATTAGCGAACGCTTGAATGCCGCCAATCGGGAGCGACTGGCGGCGGTGGTGCGTCGTCGCAGCTTCCCCGTGGAGCCACCAATGAAGACATCCTCCGCCGATGGATCCAGCATCCAGTAGTTACCCTTGCCGGGATCGTCATAGTGTCGCGGCACCTTCACAAAACACTTGTTCAGACTGAGATTGTGCCGGATGGAGTTCTGCCAGCCCTGCTTGTTGTCGCGATAATACGGATGATTGGTCATGATGTACTCGTAGATCCCGTTGAGGGTCAGACGCTTCTCCTGGCTCTGCCGGATGGCCATCATGATGAGCGCATTGTAACTGTACGGCGGCTTCTCGTTGCCCTTCTTATCCTTGATGGGTTTGCCATCCGTTGACTTTGTTTCTGAATCACCATCGTTATCACATTCCACATCGTCATCGGGATCAGCATCCGCATCCGCGTCCACATCCGCGTCGGCATCTGCATCCTCATCTTCGGCTTCGTCGACAGGTGGCGCTGGCGACATCGAAGTCACATCCAAATCCGATTCCACATCGCTATCCGGCTCCGAGATCAGTGGTGAACTATTATTATTATTGTTGTTGTTGTTATTTTTAAATTTCTGATGTTGTTCCCGCTGCTGCTGCTGCTGCTGGTGCTCCTCGTCGTCGTCGTCCCGCTGCTGCTGCTCCTCATCCTGCTCCAGCGTTTCGGGCAATATGGCATTTATTGAGAAACTGGATTTCAGATGCGGCGTTCGCGCCATTTTCATCAGCAGCGTTGCCGGCGTCAGATTCAAATTCAGATTCAATGCGCCGACGGTGTTTGCTGGCTGTGGATGATGTGTGTGTGGATGCTGATGATGATGGTGATGATGATGCAATTGATGCAGTTGATGATGATGCTGATGTTGATGCTGATGTTGATGCTGTTGATGTGGTTGATGTGCATTGAGCTCGTCAACGATTTTCACCATTTTTGCACTTGAAATTCTTATTCGGCTGCCTAATTGTTATTGCATGTTTATTTATTTTATGTTTATTGTTATAATTAAATTGATATCACAAATGCCTCCCACACAAATACACACATACGTAACGCACACGTATTCAAATTGGGCGCTCGCTGAACATTTGCCGTTTAATTCACACACGTCCGCTGCGCTGTGGCGTTTTGTGTAGACTAAATAACAAGAATTCGTTAAAAATCACACAATCCAGTTTGTGCTGCTTCCTTTGGCTATGGCTCAGTCGCAGCCGAAAAGCGGAACAGCCAATGGCAGCTGTGGACCGCATTCGCTTGCGCTCTCTGTCGGCGGCTATAGCTCGCTCGCTCGCTCACTCACTCGTGTACAGATTTTTACCGATTCGTTGCTAATTGCTGCTGACATGACACGAACGCCAGACGACGAAGCATTGTTTTTGCTTTTATCGTTTATGCTGAGTGTGGAATGGGTTGGTTTCGGGTGTGGGGTAGACACACAGAGAGCGAGAGGGCACACATACACTCTCAGCATGGCTTGTGGGTTGCATTTTGATACGCCAGGTTTTTTTTTTTGATTACTTTGCTCTTTTTGAACAGCTGCTGCTTTTGTTACACATATTGTTGTTGTTGTTGTGGGTCCCTGTTTAATGGTTTTCTTGTTTTCACACACACACAAATTCTTTCTCACACACACAGTTATCATTGTTAATTGTTGTCCTGCATTTGCTGTATTTGCCACTTTAAGCTCTGCCACAATTTACAATTCAAAAAGACCATTTGCAATTGTTTTCAATTTTAATTTTATTAAACAGCAGCATAAATAAATACGACAACTTTTTTATATATTTTACTTATCAATATTATTTACTTAATAGAAATATTTTTAAAAATACACATAATATTTAAGGACATTCAACTTTAATTTTAAGTTCTTAGCATCTTCAATATCATAATTATATTTGATATTTTCGATGTATACAACTATATAAAGAAGACCAATTTGATATGGCCAATTTGATTTGCTTAAGGCTTCTATAATTGATATATTCATGAGTAACATTTCATCAATTAAAATAGAATAAGATATTTTTTAAATGTTCAAAGTTACTTTCTAAGGCCAATTTGATATGTAAAATTTAGTTTACCTTCAAGCTGCAATAATTGGCAAGTTCGTAAATAACAAATGACAAAATGCCCACAAACCAATTTAATGCAATTTGCTGCAATCAAATATAATTTTTCATGGAATCATTTTTGAAAACGGCAACAGCTGCTGCAATTCGCAGGAGGCAAATGCCACAAAACGCCGCAACGACAATAACAAAAATCATTTTGTAATCATAATAATTGTTTTCGTTTCTTGGGGGCGTTGCTTTCTTCCATGTGTGTATGTATGTGCGTGTGTGTTAAGGACGAAGCGCTCTGATTGGGGCCAAGAAGTAGACAGCTGCAAAAGGTGAAACACGTTTCAGTACCTGTCACTAAAACACGATATAAATAAACCTAAACGCAAAACAAACAATATAAAAATGCATCCGGCAACAACAGCAACAACAAATACAACAAGCGACGCCATGTTTAACCAGTTGTTTTTGTTTTTTGTGGATTGTAGCTGTTGTTGTGATTAATACAACGGAATGCGGTTTGCTTGCTTGTGTATGTGTGTATGCATGGTTTTTGTGTGTGTGTGTGTGTGAGGCGAAAAATTATTGGACGTGCGGCTCGCGTGTAGAGTGGAGACATGCGCGCAAAAGCTTCACAAGCTCCACACTCACACACACACACACACACACCAATGCATGCATGCTCTCCCACTCTAACTCTTTGTTTCTCACTCTCTGCGCTCAATGGGGGCCGCAGGTCAAAACAAAATGGCGCTTGCAACGGCATTTTAATTGCTGGTCTTCACAAAATAGGCAGCTGCGTGTGTATTGTGTGTGTGTTGTGTGTGTACTCGTTTTTCAATTGAATATGTGCACACACACCATATTTATGATTACCATTGTTTTGTAATTGTTTTGGTTACTTGCGTAACAGTTTGGTAAGCTGATAATTGTATACCCTGTTTTGCATATTACGCGCGTAGGGTGTATATTTTTGGTGCATAGTTTTCGGCTACTATTGAGAATTTACACTTTTACACTCAACCAAGATTTCTGAGAGTGTGAAATAAACTATGATAAATATAATTCTTGGCGGTATCTAATAAACCCCTCTTTCAAATTCAGCTCTTTTTCACACTTCAGTCAGTTGTCAATCGATATTCGAATCAAAAAAATTTTCAATGTAAGTCAGACGAAATCCTAGTAAAAGTTTTTGAAATGCTTATAAAAAATTCGATGATATTTTTGGCCATCGGCCAATTGATTTTTGTAGGTCGCAATAATATTATATTCTAAGTGCTGGCACTCTGTAATATTCATAACTTAATTTTCAGTTAATAACGCTAGAAGTGTCTGAAGCTGTGCCAACCATGGTAAACGAGTCAATTGCGTTAGCTGAAAATCCGTTAAACAGATGGAAACAGAAATTGCAGCTATTTCCAATGCGCAGAAAACCTACCCGTGTAGACATAAGAGACAGACTAAACTTTCTCGACAAGAACGAAGATGAGCAAATAAATCAAAATGAGGATAAAATTAATATTAAGAAGGAAAAGAATAAAAAAAATGATGAAAATAATGAAAATAATGTCAAAGAACTAACAATATCCCTGCCGCAATTCAAGACAAAACAAAATGGAGACTGGGAGTACGCTTGGGGCCGAACCCATGGCAATATGTGGCAAGATACACGCTTCAATGTCGGTGGACGGATGACCCTTAATCGCATGGTGATCGACAATGAGGCCCAAGTCAATTACTTTCCAAAGTACGTACTTAGTTTAAGCCAAACATGTGCTAAAAATCATCGTACAAATCAGATATACCGGCGATGTGGATACGGTGTGCATTGGTCGCAGTACCATCTACAATGTGCCCAAGGAGAAGGCATGGCTGAAGAAAATGATGTACGACGGTGTCCGTCCACATCGGCCAATTTGGACAAGTCTCAGACATCAGATCTTTAGCCTGGGCAACAGCGAGGAATGCCACACTCCCAAATTTGTCCAATGGCGTCAGTATATGGAGTGCGCTCTGCGACGACACCAGAGACTGGAGTATCTAATTCCCAAGTATCCGCTGCATCAAATGGCTTACAGAAAGAATATTTACGTGGACAGATACCCAAAAGGTCATTAGTCACATATCTGTTTGTTGGCAGAAATAAATGCTGGGCAGCAATTTTAACTTAATTTATTTTATTTGCATGTAGGGAGAACACCTTCGAAAATCCAGCATGAAAAGTACAAAAATATTTGATTGAAATCGGTGAGTTTCTCAAAAATTCTATGTGAGTCAGTTTTTAAGGATATTTCTATCGAAACAGGCATCTATAATAATATTTATAAATCATTCACAGAAATCCAGCATCCAGGATATGCAGTTTAAGTGTATTTTTATATAAACCATATAAATAAAATATATAAAAAATGTTTACTTGTTGATTCTTAGTTTAAATGCAATTTAATTAAATTTAAACCTTAATTTTATTCAATCCGGAAACTGTAAGTCATAAAATGACGCGACAAACAATAAATCAAAAAAAGAGATAATTTTTCATTGATAAAACCTATAAAGTTCTGAAATACTTGAGAGCTGCAAATCAAATATGATAAACCAACGCGAGCAGAGCACAAAATGGCACAGAGAATCAATATTTGAGAGTATTTGGGCAGCGTACTTTCGAAGGGGGCGAGAGTACTTTACTAATCAGCCAGATTTATAGCTGGCATTTAGTTTTGTTGGTTTTGTGTCGATATTTGATATTTGAGCCGACGAAATAAATCCGTGAGCATTGAGCAGCCGCCTTGTTAACCCTTTTGGGCACGGCTCTAAGGCTCTAAGGCTCTATGGCTGTATGGCCTTGCTTAGCCCGTTCTCAACCCGTTCGCGTCTCGGTCGGTAAAGTTGGTACGCCCACTGCAGATTGCCGGATCGCGATGTCCTTCCGGGTAGCTGTTGACGGGTCCTCGCATTTATTTTGATCAACTCAATGGCAGTTTAACCGCAGGATTAGCTTGTTTGTCCAACGGATCAGTGCGATGCATGCAAACAGAGGCTGGCGCGGCTACCTAAGCGCGGGCGGATTGACTACCTAAAGGGAGCTGGCCAACGGGTTAAGTATCCGTTCACACACACATCGAGATAGACACACACACACACACAGAGATGAGGCATTGTGCGCTTCCGTTGTTTATATTGTCTATTTACATATTGAGCACTTTGAGACTCAGCACAGTAGCCAAAAATTTGTTGCAAATTGATCTTACCTACGCCCAGGATCTCAGCCTCGTCCTTTGGCCACGCCGAAAGAGTTAAGCAAGGATTAGATCTTGTTTCTCTCTCTCTCTCTCCCTCTCTCTTTCGCTCTTTCTCTCTTTCTCTCTGGGGATTTGCGGACTTAGCTTAGCGCGTATTAATCTGATATTTCGTGGGACTTGAAGACCGTGTCGCAGTTTTTGGAGTCGTATTTTTCAGCCTAATCGCCGTCGCTTAGCCACACAAATATTTTCCAACATCAGCACGCGGGATTTGTCTCGATTAAAGCCAAAGGGTTAAGGGTCAACGGGTTAAGGTTAAGGTTTAGGTTAAACCTCTTTTTTCTCTCTTCGCCGCTGCCCTGACATCTGATTTCATTTAGCGTATTCCGTTGCGAACAGTTAAGAACTGTTACAGTTACAGTTACAATTACTTTATGTCCTGGTTACTATGGGGCAGCTCCCCGTATGGGGTTGCTCCCCCGCATCCCTCTTCCCTATTATGGACTGACAAATTGGCCAAATTTTGTTGAAATCACGCGCAGCAGCTTTTCCATTCGACGCAGGACAACACAGGACAGCTCCTGGACACTGGCATCTCTTACCCTCCTCCTGCCACTTTTTATTGTTGTTATTATCGTATGTTTCGTTGTGCAAATAAACAGCCAAACGAGTGTGCTACAAGTACAATTGCTGGAGGGGAGGGGGGGCAGCTGTTGGGGGAGGCATGGTTAAGGCTAAGGGTGCAACAGGGGTTTGGGTGTTCACATTTTGGGTGTGACCTGGCGTATGGTTAACAACGGGTGGTTAACGGCAGCACAAACTGAGCTTAGAGGCCAGCAATGGCATTGCTTGGTTGCCCGCTGAATACCCTAACAAAATAAAAAAGCTGCAATTAGAGTGAAAAACAAATATTTCAATTAAAATGCAGTTTTATTCCAGTAGTCAAATCATAAATTAAATTTGGTTCACTTTTGATGTGGAGACAGATAGAAATCTGTGCAAAAAGAATAAAAATTTCTTTTTTAATCTTATTATTTATTTATTTATTTTATTGAAAGCCAACTTTAATTAATCGTTTTAGATTTGACTCAATCAAATTAATACAACACACATAATGTTTATAAAATAACTAGAATTATTATGAACAATTCTTACAAAATCATCTAACTTGGCTGATCAATCAGCACATCTACTCCAGTTGAATGTAGTCTCTTAAAAAAAGGCAGCTTTACCGACACCCCACAACACACACACATAGATACACACGCACACACAGCCAAATGTAAGGCACCCCTTTTTGCCCAACACTTGATAATTGTTGACAATGTGTTATAAACTGATTTACACGCATTTAACGAAAAGAAACACTGCCAAAACTCACGCAGCGCCAACACCAACACCGACAGCCACAACAACAACAACTACAAGCAACAACAACAACAACAACAACAACTACACGCAACAACAACAACAACAACTACAAGCAACAACATCGTTAGCGTCAACCGCTTAGATGTCATCGTTAGCTGATGTTGCTGCTGCTGCTGCTGCTGTTGCTGCTGCTGCTGATGGGAAAGGGAAATGCGAAAGGGAGCTGGGAGAATGGGAAGGGAAAGGGGCAACTGGTAACTGGGAACTGGTCGCGTGTGCCACGCGAGGGTGGCAACTTAAAGGGGCAAGCATGATTTGTGTGTGCGGTGTGTGTGGTGTGTGTGGTGTGTGTTAATGAACTGCGTAACAATTAACAGCAACAACGAGCACAAATAAAGCGCAACATCAGCAACAACAACAACTACAACTAAACATTGCCTTAGTTGACTAGCAGATACCCTGTAACCAGCCAATGCATGAGATCTATCTACTTGTAGAAAAACTCTGTTTTTAAATATGAACTTTTCTATTTTTGCTTAGTTCAGTTTTGGGTAAAACAGCTAACTTCTATTGACACTTCTACTTCAGAGAATTTATGTGTTTTCTATTCAAATACAAAGCTTTATCATTTAGGAACTGCTAAGGGTATCTTAAAACAAAATACACTTGATGTTTGCATCGTATTACTCTTTTAATCACTCTGCTCCACATTCTGAAAAGTAGTTCTGTGTTTAATTACAATTTATACCTTCCTTCTTCTTTTGATAAGGGTATATAATAGTGAAATATGTTCAATCTTTGTAAGCTATATACAAATTTCAAATTCGAGCTCCTCTATTTTTAGGAGGAGCAGCAAACATTTATTATATAAAAAAAAGTCCATTAATTTAAGCTTATTAGCCAAATACAAATCTTACATAAAATCAAAGATAACATCCTGTTGCAAAAACACGCCCAACTTCACAACAACCCTTGTTAGCAATTTCAAATGATTACAGGGTATAACAAGGCTGCTGCTAATGTGGCTCAACTTAAAAGTCAGTGGCCACGCTTCCAATTCCGATTCCACAACTTGAACTGGAACTGCTGCGGGTTCATTTGCGGATTTATTGCTACATAATCGGACAACAAAGAGAGCGAGAGAGCGAGAGAGAGAAAGAGAGAGGGAGAGAGAGAGAAGGAGAGAGACAGCAAGTTAGAGAAGTGTGTGTGTGTTTGCTTGATTATGCTGGTGGCTGGTCACTTTTGGTTCCACCAAACCATCGCGCTGATCCAAATCAATTTAATTGAGGTCCAGCTCTGTGTTGGCCCCTTAACCCGGCTTAATTTGTCCAATGTGTTGGCAGTCAATGGTTGCTTAGCTGACTGCTTCTCTCCGCCAGTCCGATATCAGTGTGAAATCTGTCAACTGACATGGGCTCTATCTATCTTTAAGATCTGCCAAAGGAAGTGGGGTTACCAAAGAGCAATTGGATGGGGACAATGGCAAGTCGCTAAAATGCAATTAGTTACCAGTATTTAAGTTACAGCAAAAAAAAAGGAAAAAGGAAAGGAAAAGTTGATACTGGAAGGACTCCATTGGAGTTTTTTATAATATTTTATTAAAACTACAACAAGAACTCAAATCAACTGTTATCACTTAACGAAAACTGATGTCAAATTATATTAAAGTAAATGCAAGTTGAAAAGTTATAAAAAATCTGAAGTTCATAGATTATAAAGATTGTATTATGCATTATAAATCTAAAGAATACATAACAAAGGAGATATTTTCCAATCACAGAGGCAATAAGTACTTAAGATATGTTAACTTACTCAATGAATTTATGGAATAATTTTGTGATAGGAACCCAAGAACCAAGATTGGACATTTATTAAAAATCGTGTGTGGCACACTTGAGACTCGCAACTGGTAAGTGCAACATCTGCAAACATGCTCGAGATGTCCCACTACAGAGTTCAGATGCCAAGTTGTCATGCATATTTGCCCAAGTCTTGGTTGTCAAGACCCGACTGAACTCACTTCCGTTTTGGGGTTAGTCAATCAACGATTTGAACTGGGCGAGCGGGTCCAGTCATCATCATCTTTTTTGTACTTCAAGTGCATTCATTATTCTTACTCATTCATAATTTCTTTTAATTGTGCGCGTATTTGCAGTTGTATTTCTTTATTGTGGCCTGTCTCATCTCAGAATTATATATATATATATATATTCTACGCTAACAATTGGCCAGCAGAGCTAAATTTCTACGATTCATTCATATCGCACAGTCCGTCATATATGTGTGTGTATTTATTATTATTCTGAATTGGTTCCGTTGAGAGGTCGCACCCAGTGTCAGAGTCCGAGTCCGAGTGCGAGTCCCAGTTCAGACTGATGCTGCCTGCCCCCTGATGCTGCCCTCGATGTGTGGCGCGTAAATTAACTTAATTGAAATTCGGGTCAACAGAGAGGCCAAGATAATGAAAGAAACTAATTAAAGAGCAACTCTCGTCCGTCGCATAGACTATACTATCCACCTACCAAACTACACTCAAAAAACTGACGCGTCAATACTACAAAATGTATTTTCTTTATAAATTGCAAATTACTCTTGCATCTAGACAATTTTTGTTCTTAGTGTAAAATCTCCTTAAGAAAATATTTATGAAATACATTATTAAATTTAAGTATTATTATTTTATTCCTAAGAAACCTTATATATCAATCAAGATTTTTTTATACCTAAGAAAAATCACAATTGTAAATAGATTTTTATTCCAAAGACTCTTCTGTAATTTCTGGGTATACAGTTTAGTGTGTGATAGAAATATCTACTCTCCATTTTTCTGAGTGTACGCAGTGCAGTGGCAAAACAACCCACATGCTGGCGGTTTTTGTTGTGTGTCGCTTAAATATTTTTCAAATATTTTCATCGCTGGGCAGCAACAATTTCATGAGGTTTCCATTGGTGTTGTTGCTGCTGCTACTGTTTGTATTGCCATTATTTGATTAGTATTTGTGCGCCCATAGGTTAACAATTATTTTATTAATAAACATTTGAATGTATTGCCCTCATCTGAACCATTGCTTTTAGCTATGACCAAACTGGGCAGCCGCCACACATCGCATTCAATTAAAAACACATTTTGTGGTCACTGTGTGGTCGCCTCGAATGGAGACAGCCATGACCATAGACGGGAAGAGTGAGGCCAGGGGGGAATGGTAAGTGGATCTACATACATAGGTGACACAGCCGTGCAAAGACGTTTGCAAGGCTTCAATCTGTAACTACGGCTGTCGATCAATAGTCTCGGCAAATCTAATCACGTAATTCAACTACTTAGTGTCTGGCAAGTAGGTCGCCCCAGCAGACATAAATCAATAATTATAATTATGTGTCGCTTGACTACTGTAAAACAGCCTTGAACAAATTAAATGCTTAAATGCTTTGACAGGTTGTCAAATGTTTATATTAATATTGATATTGAGCAACTGTAAGGGTATATAAATAAACCTATATCCGCATTATATAAATATAAGAATATAAATTATAAAAATAAGTTAAATGTGGGTGATTTTTAGTTTAAGTTAAAAGCATTACACAATAATAATTTATTCCTATTTAAGTAGATGTAAGAACTAATTTGAATTTTAGGCTTTTAACTACATTTTTTTCAACAGAGTAAATTATATACTTAAAGTTGCTGCCTGATCTTTAGTTATTATATGCTATTAATCCATATCCCCATTTTAACTTTAAAAAATGTAGATTTCTTTCAGATTTCTTCAGCTATGTTTATCAGTTAATATGGAAAAATATGTTTAAAATACTTGTTTTTGTATTCCCCTCTCCCAACTACCTAACACATTACGGTTTCTTTTCAACACGTCTACCAAACTATAGCATAACAAACTGGTCTAGTCTAGTCTATGTTAAGTGCAATTGTTAAAAACTAATGCCAATGTGGCAACTGCCTATCCAACAATCTATGTGCAGAGCAGAGCACCTCAAGAACTCAATCCTTGCGAAACACAAAAGCGACTAAGACCAAAACGCGTTTGGGTTAAACCGGCAGACAAAGCAACGACCAACTATCCGATCTATATACAATATGTGTATAAAATATTTATGCCACAAGTAAAACAGAAAGAGAGAAGAGATAGTCTCAGAACCCCCGACGATGGGCTTGAATCATTAATGAAACTGGGCTTAGATTACAGTAGGCAAGCCTTCTGTGTGTGTGTGTGTCCTCTTTTTTTGTTTCTCATCCTGGGGCAGACTAAATGTAGCAAAAAGTGTAACAAACGGCACACGTTGCATGCAGCATGCTGTGCCGTGGAAGGTAAGTAGAAGGTAATCAGCTTGTGCATCTGGACTCTCGCCAGGACTGGCTTTTGTGTCTGTGTCCTGGCTGCTTCTGCTGCTGCTGCTTCTGCTGCTGCTGCTGCTGCTTCTACTGCTGCTCTTTCGACAGCGTAATCCCTGCACTTAACCCGGGTAATAAGATAAGTAAGCCAGATCCGTTCCTCGGCCGCCTCTCGCTGCTTGTTATCTTTGTAAATTGCATGTCGAGCACTTAAGCCAATTCGCAAACTGGTTAAGGAGCAACAACTACTCTACGCGTGCTACTCAGTCTGAGTGCGAGTCCGAGTCCGAGTCCGAGACATTGAGTCGGTGATACAGTTAAGCAAATCCCTATGTATACGATCCAATAATTCGACAATGCGAGCCTCGAGCCTCAAACAATCGACACAATCAACACAATCAACCCGCAGCCGTCTTAGAGAGCAAACTGCTTTAGCGACTTAGATCCTTAAGGCTGTTCCTTGGGCTTAGGTAAGTGGATTGCTAAATTCAAGCCGCATTCCAATTCAGCAAATCCCGTGCCCTGGATAAATTGTGGAAAATGTGTTAAGTATATAATGCGCTCATCCACAAACTATTTCAATAACAAGCAGCTACTTAAGCTGGGCAACTACCAGAGACCAGCACCAGAAACCCAATCAAACAATGACCCGTCACCGTACTCCATATATCCATACTCATCCCATTGCAATTCCCATCCAACGGGAAAGCCTTTTGTTTAATCACACACAAAGTTTCAGTATCTTAAGTCGCCGGCTAAGCATAGTTTGTATATGCAAAATATTGGATAGCATATGGAATTTATGTGTGGGCCCGCAACCCGATTTAACTCTTGCAATTGCTTAAGCCGCACTTAAACCCCAAATATCCACACATATCACACCATACAACTGGCCAACTGGCAGGGAAAACAAGTAACAAGCTCAAATGAGCAAAGGATTGGCTTAAGACAAACAAATGGTTAATGTAAGCTATGCGAGAAAGGATCAGCAACTTAAAACAAAAACTATCATACGAAATCGGAAAATGTAATTGTCAATTGAATATATTCAGTTATAAAATAATCGTTGCTATAAGAAATAAAGGCTAAAAAAATCAGAGAAAGTATATATTTCAAAATTATAAGAGAGATCTGCCCGATTATGGAATTGAATAAAAAAAGAATATGATAGTTTAATGAGAATAGAAAGAAGTATATTTAATGATACATATGTTTATAATTCATTGAAACTCATGTGTGAAGTGACGAATAATAAACTCCTCTAAAATATATTGAACTGTTTGCCGAGGTATTGCCGAGGTAAATAAAAACAGAAACTTATTTCTACATCTATTTCTTATTCTATATTTTATTGAGTTTAGTTTTTAAAAAGGAACAGCATCTATTACAACTATTTTAAAATTCCCAAGTTTCCTGATCACAAGTAATCCAAAAATCGTTATTTAAGCTTGAACCTTTTGAGAATCCTAAGGTTCACACATCATAAGCTGTCAAGTTAACTTCCGACTTTAAGCATTACACAACTGATCCACTTAATCCCTCCGCTACGGTTGCACCTCCTCCTCCTCTTCCCCCCCAACTATTTCTAATGCTGCTTGGCACCCTATAAAACTGCCAGCTAATCGTTTCGATAACATGATTTACCAACACCAAAACACAACAATACAACACCCAACAAAAAAAAAAAAGAAAAAGAAACAGAAAAACAGACGGACAATAATTTACAATTATTGAAAATGGGTAAAATGGAAAAGAGATGAAAATACGAGTATGATAATTGCTACCGATCCCGTCGTTCACTCATGTCGTTTTTCCCCATCAGAACTAACGATGATATTAATTATCATTTTCGTTTACAAATCGATGTCGGAGGAGGAGAAGGAGAGCGATCGAGAGGAAGAAAGAGAGAAAAGCGCTGTATTTATGATATGAGCAGGTCTTGTTATGCTGGGGGGACGGGGGAGTTAACAAAAAGAAGAACTTGTTGATGCCACCGATGGAAACGATGAGAATGATGATCATTATGATGTTGAGGATGTTGATGCTCCGTTTTTCTCACATGTTTCACTCAAATGCGCACTTAAGATCAAAGCAACTGCCGGCACCTCCACATTTTCAAATATATACCAAAATGAAGACATCAACATTAGGTTCCGAACACACAAAACAGTTTGAAAAATTTTCAACAACGCCTCTGATAGAGAAAAAAGTGACCCTACACTCAACAAAATATATTAACTAGAAGTTTTATATAAATAAACATTTATTATTAGCTTATACTTTTTGGAAATACAGAATATTTCTAATTCACATATTTCCAAAAAGTAAAGAAAGTCTTCCAAGCTTTCTTTATAAAATATAGAAGCAGATTTTAAGACCTGAAATTTATAACAAATATTTATAAGTTAATCAAAAGTTGATTTAAAAATGATAATTCTGTGTTTTCACTTGCTGAAAAATGAGTCAAGCTATTTTCTAAATTCCAGTGCATATTCTTTTTTCTAAGTGTGATCTTTCGGACTTGTCGGTGCCCTTTTTTTCTAGGGTTCTCATCTTTCACTTTTACCCAAAGCATATTAGTTGAAAAATTGTATAACAAAAGTTAAGAAAAATTGCTGTATTTACGCACACACACACACATACATGTGTAGGCAAATAGAAGTGTGCTGCTCAGACAATGGCCTGGCTGGAACTGGACCCCGGCAAGGAGTCCGAGTCGGAGACCGAGCAGGGATCACACAGTTGGGTTACCTGCCTGCGGCGCGGGGCACAGCTGGAGTTGTCACTGGGCATGTAAAGAGCCAGAGAAATTGAGACAACATCACAGCAAACAACAAGCAACAACAACAAGCAACACAACTAATAACAACAACAATGGAGACGATCGCCCTTTTCTTTCTTCAAACAAATGTTCATGTTTGCCGCCTAATTAAGTCATCAGGCAGTTAAAAGAAGCTGAAAAAAGAAGGTTGCTAATAGCCCAAGAAAAAGAGCCAAAGAAGCCAAAGTCAGAATTGAAAAGCAGCTAAATGTTAAATAAATTTGGCTAGAAATAGCTACAATCCGTTCTAAGAAAAATAATTCAAAATAGCTCGAATTTTAAATAGTTAAAAATAAGAAAAATATTAATAATTAACTAAGATAGAAAAAAATACATAAATATTTGTTTTTCATTTGAAATGTGTTTTTTATTCGTATAATAATTGGTGTCTGATAAATTTATGTACATATTTGCAAAAGTAGCCAAACTACAAGCCGCCTTTCTGGGATGCGAGGCGACGCGAGGCCGGAGACAGGTGGCAGCTGCATGTTGTATGTATTTGCCTGGAGTGCTGCTGCAGCTGCCCAAATCCTAGCCAGGAGCCAAAAGCTAACCGGCTTTCCAGGCCGGAGGCGGCATTCGATTTTTTTTTTTTTGTGATTTTTTTTTTTTTGTTTTTACTAAATGCAACATTTAGAAGTCAAAAGTGGGGGTTGGGTTTCTTGTGCGCGGCTCCTTGTGCGGCGACTCCTTGTGGCGGGGGCGGTGGCGGCTCAACCAAAGCCTTGTCCCATCAAAACCAAAACGCTGGGCGTGGCGAACGCCTTCGGAGGCGCTTAACTGGCCGGAAACTTGCCAAAGAACTGCATGCGCTGGAACAATTCCGCATTCATGTGCGCACCACCAGGATAACTAGCCGCCTGGAGCTGCGGATGTGCACCGCCGGGTGGTGCTGCTGCCGCCTGATACTGCATCTGTGGCTGGCCATAGCCAGCCATGGCAGCAGCTGCAGCAGCCGCAGCCTGATAGGCAGCAGGATTCATGCGCTGATACAGAGCAGCGGCGGCAACAAATGGCATGCCCGGATAACCATAACCAGCACCTGGAGGTGGTGCACCATAGCCACCGGCGGCAAGCATCGGATTGAAGATGGCCTGACGATAGGCGGCGAGACGAGTGCGACTGGCGCCGGGATTTTTACGGCGCAACTTGCCCGTCGTCTCACCAATGAACACCTCCTCCGCCGAGGGGTCCAGAATCCAGTAGTTGCCCTTGCCGGGATCATCATAGCTGCGCGGAATCTTCGTAAAGCATTTGTTCAAACTCAGATTGTGGCGAATGGAGTTCTGCCAGCCGCGCTTGTTCGCCTTGAAGTAGGGGAAGCGATTGATCAGATACTGATAGATGCCATTTAGGGTCAATCTCTGTTCGGCACTGTCCTGGATGGCCATCATGATGAGGGCGTTGTAGCTGTACGGTGGCTTTTTGGTATCATTGCTGCCGGCGCTGTTGATCTTCTGTTTCTTGCTGGGATTGTTGCTGTTGCACTGCTCACTTGCATCGCTGTCCTCCTCATCCAACTCAATGTCCTCGTCGTCGAATTCCTCCACATCCAGTTTATCGTTGTGCTGCGACGATAGCGATTCAGCAGCGCTGCTCATCGGCGTACTCGTTCTCGACGGACTATCGAAATCTTCGGATGCAGATAGTTCACCATCCGAGTTGTTGGCATATGGATATGGATAGGGGTGATTGATTTGTGGTTCATGCTTGATGGCGGGCGCTGTTGGTTTCTTTGCCAAGATGGCATCGATGGAGAAATTGCTTTTGAATTCCATTTCGCAGACACTTTTCACCATTTTTGCAAGTCTTTTTTTTAAATTGAATTGAAACAGATACACGACTGAATAACTGTTATAGCTGTGCACGTTGCGAAGCGTAACTCAATACTGACTCTCCACAGTAACGAGGCGAGCTATTTATACGCAGCGTCTCACTGCTGAGAGCGCATACGCACGCACACAACGGCAACTAACCCCCATTGCGAGAGAGCGAGCGAGCGAGTGAGAGAGAGCGAGAGAGCGAGCATGACTCGTTCGTTTAGGTAGACGCAGGCAGCTCGCATAGAGACTCCGCCTCTCGCTCGAAACGGGTTTGGCATTTGACCATTTTGTTCCACTTGCCATCCACACACATACACAGTCTCTGTTTGTTTTTGTTGGCGTTGCGCGTGTTTTGGAACTTGTGGATGTTTATTTGCAGCCCTTTGCATGCATCGGCGTCAAAATATCCATTACATCCAATCCAAACAGGGGTTGTGCGCCACTCGCCCCTTGTAGGCGTTTTACTGTTGATTCATATCACTCTCTCTCGCTCTCTCTCACTCTCTCTCTCTGTCTCTCCCCCTTGCTCCTTGTTTTGATGTGGCATATTGCCCAGTTAATTGGTGCAAACTGCAAAATAACAGCAACAACAACAGCAACAGAAGCAAACAACGCTTTAATCAAAAATAGAAGAAATTCGTGGAATATGATTTGCTTAATCCACTCGAGCAATTAGTTCAGTTTCAGTTGCTGGGATTTTCGATGTCGCTCTCCAGGATTACTTGACAATCCACATTGGCTTAACAATTTTTGGCTGATTTGCGCTGATTTGCAACAGCTCAATGGAGCTCAAGTGGCAGGTAATCCTGCCCGCTTGCAACTAAAGGGTTAAGCATGCCCAGCCAGGGATTTGGTTCACTTTCGCAGCAGATTTTGTAAATCGCGCGCTTCTCGAGAATTCTCGAAATTGAGTTTCATATCTGATGTGCCACATGGATCCAAGTAAACATTTGCCGTGCCACAAAACTTACTTAAAAGTAAGCTCAGTCTGGTTTTAGTTTCTGACTTTTGTAAGATTTGAGAAGGGCTTGGAGAGAGGAGACTGTAATAATATCAACACAACTAAGTATTTGGAAGAGTGCATGGATTAGATATAAATATTTGTGATTGTGACAGAAATTAAGATCCAAAGAGATAAAAGTAATACAGGAATATTGGCATGATAAAAAAAATAATCATAATTATAGTTTTATATTGAAATCAATAGAATATAATTGTTAGATGAGCTAGTCAATAAATGAAGAAATTTGAAACTTGGACTGCACTTTACTATTTTATTGTATTTTATTGTATGATTAACCAACATCTCCAAATTAATAAAAAGGTGTTTCATGATTTAAATAAAGATTTACATGTATAGAAAACTATTTTAGCCTAACATATCTCAGAGATATTTAGTACAATTAAAACCAATAAATTAATAACTAAAAATAATAACAATAAAGTGCAATCTTCATATTAAATAGATAAGATTCAGCGACTTGTTGCTTGTCAAGTTAGAAGCTGCAAAAAATGTGTGAACAGGAAATGTCACAAATTGAAAAGAGCTACCTACTTGCTGTAAACTTGTACTATAAAAGCCGGGTCATAAAGCATGGCCATAAAGCTGCTGATATACCTAGAAGTTAAGACCAGGATTCATTCAAATCTAGCGATTTATCAATAAAGCAAATAGATTTGCGGGGCTATAGACGACAACGGGTGATAGATAAAATACACACATATATATACAGATATATATATATATTGCTGCAGGGGTAAGGATCTTTGCACGCGATGCATACCGAATTAAAAAAGGTCCTGGCCAGGCTGGCCCACACACCAGCGATCGATCATGTGCATTGTGTTCTGCTTCTTCCATTTCGCAGGCACAGTGGGACAAAAAGGCACACGAATGTAAAATGTCCTGCTTTATCAGAGGACACACAGAGACAGACATAGAGAGAGCGAGAGAGTCCTCTGTGTGTCCTGCTGTTGACAGGCAAGAAGACTGTTGACAGGCCCTCGCACATTACGATCAATTATGAGCCTCAATGAACTCCAGCGGCGTAACGAAAGGGGGACGAATGTCTCCCCCCGCCCGAGCGAATCTTGTGGCGTTAATTGAAAATGACATGCATATTGTTTGCATATATCTACGTGGAATTTGGTCAATGTCTCTTCCGCTCTCGATGCATTGTAAATGCAACTCAGGCGTGAAGCTATCGCCTAAGTGTGGTCTGGCAATGAAACCATAATGTCACCCAACAGGCGGCCACATCATGTCCTGTCAGCGTGGAGCAAACGCTGATCACCAATCAGTAACTGTGACACATCTCCGACTCTGTCTCCGAAGTCAAAGACCCAACTAAACAACGAACAGTTACGCCTTGATAACTAACCATGCAAATCTCAACTATGTCGCCCATTCTCAACAGGTTGTACAAATGTGCTGTGAAGTGCTGATTACTGAAATTTAACGGACTCTCATGTTCGACATATTGTTGAGAACTTTTTCAAATATTTGCAAGATGTTGTTGTTACGAAAATACAGAAAAAAATGTAGAAAAATATTATAAAAAGTTTAATTTCAAGCTTAAATGAGGCCAGATAAACTATCTAAGACAAATATAAGTCCAGAATAATAAAATATTCCTGAATTAACAATTTACTGATGAAAGAGTATTCAATCCCAGCACTTTCTGATACAAATTTTGTTAGAAAGGATATTCAACTTAAAAGATTAAAATATTGATTATATATCATTAAATAAAATAAATAAATAAAATAAATATTGGTCAGAAACAATATATGGATTAATATACAATTTAAGAGACTTACATTCAAAAATGAATTATATTTTCCATAACCAAAAAGAATGGACTGTTAAAGTAAGATATAAAAAATAGTTAAAGTATTAATAATCTCAAATTAACAGTCTTTCACTGCAAAAAATACTTCTAATGCAGTTTTCAAAGTGAGATCTTTTTTGGCTGCAGCTGATGCATTTGCTTGTGTGGGCGAGCATTTTGAGGATGCTGTCGGCTTTATGCTGTTTTGAAATCAATTAGTTTTGTCGCGGCTGTCAAAATGCGCCAGGATCAGGATGCACACACACAAATACACACACACACTCACACACACATACACTAGAACATAGAACATAGAAGTAGCCATCGCCCACAGTTTGACTCGGGAGGTAAAAGTCGAATAGTCATGGTTGCAACATGCTTAGCTGCAGTTTTTCTGTGGCAGTTGCAGTTGGCAGCCAGCGGCACAGTCTTTTGAAGACCGACGACCGCTGGTCATGGCATTTTGCGAAAAATTCCCAACTCAATTAGTTGAACTCTGCCCACGCCGAGTAAAAAATCAAAGAAAAGAAATTGTGGATGAAAAACAACAACAACAACAACAAGAACAAAACACAACAAAAAAAAAAAAAAGAGAAGCCGCTTTGGCCACAAAAGAGAAATGAAAATTCGAGGCGTTCAAATCTACATTTATCCCTCAGCCTCCTCCGCCACAGCCGATGAGCGTCGGGGACGAGTCTTTTAGGTTTTGGTTTGGTTTGGTTTCTTTCACTCCGCTCTTTTCAAGTTTGCCGACTGAGTGCATCATTATCATCGGCAATTGGACTACTGCGTCAAAGTGCGCTGCCTACTTTTTCCTTATTCAGCTTCTTCTTCTTGCGTCTTCATGCCCTAGCAAACGGTATACTCATTTTGTTGTCAAGTGTGTCATTTTTGACATCCCTGAAGCCATAGAGTTTGTATTTATTGTCGATTGAAGGATGAGCTATTTATTGTATGAAATAACTTCTTGTTCACAAATTATATTCATTTAATACTCCTAATAGTTTGTTAAATATATAATGTAGTTTAAATATAAATATAATATAATATAAATATCATAATCCCAAGGCAACTTACTCAAAATTTAGAAACTCTTCCTAATGATACACATAACAAAATGAAATGAAAACGATGTGGATGTAAATCAAACTATATAGATTTATTTATATTTAAAATATATCTAATATTAAGTGGAACTAGTATAAATTCGAAATGTCAATTTTTGAGGTCTTTTTATTATATATTGCCTTAAATAAACTTCAATTTTAGCACTCGGAAAGTTAACTATCAATAATTATCAGAATTTAGCTAGCAGCAAAGGGTATTCTAACTTCGGTCTATCCATGGCATTTCCTTCTAAATATTTGTTCATCAAACTCTTCGGTCTATTGTTGTTGTACACGTACACAATATTTTGGGCAAAAAAAGACAACAAGTACAACTACAAGTACAACAAGTACAATAACAGTAGTTGTAAACTATGGCGCAAATTAATCGACAGTCATTTGAGCATGTGCTGTTGTTGTTGTTGTTGTTGTTGTTGTTGTTGGTTGTTGGTTTGTGCGTGCTGCTGGCGTTGCTTTGATTGTTTTGTCAAGTTGTCTTAGATATCAAAGTGCTGTGCCGACTGCGGCATGCAGAAGACTAAGATGAAGATGAAGACGTCCTCTCTCTCTCTCTCTCTCTCTCTCTTCCTCTCTCTCTAATAACCCACAGCGCTGACGTCTTCATTGTCTCTACTTGACTTTCGGTCGATTTATTTTCTCAATTGTTCCTGCAAAAACAAATGCCATAAAACAACATCTAAAACATACTCATATACATATAAATATATATATATATATATGTGTGTAGCATGCTCAAATTTGATTTGTCGAGCAAGTGCCTCCAAACAAAGGCCACTTGTCCAAGTATTTCACTGTTTTTATTATTGTTGTTGTTGTTGTTGTTTTTTCTTTCGACATTTTGGCTTTTGTTTTTGGTAGTTTCTCGCTTCGTTTGATCTCGTTGAAATGCTACTTGGACTGCTACTCCACATGAGCTGCATGTGTTCAGCAGTTGATTTTTGTTAAGTTTTTCAACATATGGAAAATCCGATAACTAACCAACTTTATCTTACGCACGAGTGCGAAAAAGAAAAGCTTCAACTTCATCATAAAAAATAGGCTTATCTACCTAAGAAACCACATTAAACTAAGACACTCGATTGCTCCAAGACTGTTAATCAACAA